AAAATACTCCTGAAATGTCTTGTAAGGATCTCCATGGTATAAGTATTTGACGGGTTCTGTGTAAACGCCAGGAGTGCCATGTTTAAGTCCAGCCTCACCGTACTGGTCATAGCGGGCTCTTAGTACAGGGTCCTTCAGCACCTCATAGGCCTCCGATATCCATGTAAATTGCTGTAGGGTGGGTAAGTTTCTTAAAGCGGCGACCTATTGTCATTTGCCTTTGCATGTGACACTTATTTACATAACTTTCACAACGGCTTTGTCGGAAAATGAAGTGCTTCAATGACTGCACGTGATTCCCACACGTGAGTCACTACCAGGATCAGATCTGGGGAATATGCGGTTCCCAAAGCAAGCAATCTATAGTCCCTAATCATCGAATTTGTTTAAGCTGCATTTTATGATATGAGAAGGAAAAGGAACAGAAAGATAGCTCACAACGCCATAAGCAATAATCTTGTCCAATAAACTGACAGGCATCTATCTGTGTTTTATAATGTATGTACAGAAAGTTAATGGTTACACTTTCTTTTTCAAGTCACTGCAGAGAATTATTACAAATTGGGCCTGAGGTTAATGCATGAGCATGTCCATTCCTCACATCTATTCGATGTGCAATCGTCAAGGGTCAATCTGTTTGATTTGTACATCTGTCGTGGTGGCGTGGCCTCGCGGGTATTCTTATAGCCTCTCAACCTTTTTGTACGTGAGTAGGCAGTCCTCTTGCCTAATGATGCGGTACAGTAATAATTAAGGAGAGGATTGTTGATATTAACATGGTGCTGCGGTGAAATATACAGGATTTCTTCAAGTACAATGATTGTCAGAGCTATCGACAACTCGTTAAATTCAAGCTTGTTTATGCTATCCGATCTGGCATAGTTATTTAGTGTAATGCTCATGTCATTTTAATGTGCCTTTCAGAGAGGAGGTGGGGATACGAAGCGAACCTCGTGATAGAAGTGTCAATGTCCTTCGAGTCGGAGAGTGGTTACCTATCCGCACCCCCTGAACTCTGTACTAGTTCGTCCATATTTACTTGCCCAATAAACATGTCAAAATTAATGCAACCTGGGTGATCCAAGAGAACGAGGAGCAGAGAAGGGGAGACCTACGAGCCTCCTCCAACATTAGTTTAAGCCTATAGTTAAGAAATCTAGGATTCAAGAGTGCTTGCTACCTACGAGCATAATACTGTATTGAACACTACTGCATCTGTTTGAATAAAATATTATCATTCAGTGTGACGGCTTGATGGAAAGGAAGTAAAACCGAGAACCTCCTAAAGACCGCTCAGAATGGTAGAGTATTTTGCAGTACCTACCCAAAAAATAACAGCTACACTAAACTACGCATTTATAAAAACTTTGCGGCCCATTAGAAGTCAGAGCCTACAACAGAAGTTTAACTAACATCCTGATAATAAATCACATTTGACGATTGCGATTTAACAAGCAGTTTTAGCCAAATTTTTACCTGCAAAATCGTTTAAAATTAAAATTTTTTGTTAAAAAACTGTTTAGTTACTTTTGTTTTAAACTAATAATCTAGATAATATGTTAGATTGTACTTGTTTTAGTCTTTCAATATCACTTTGACCCACCAATAGTAACTAAACCCTCTCTTTAAAGGCGTTGTTCATCTGATAGCAGAAGAGTATGAGTTACAAGGATTCTGGACAGCCACAACCCAGTTTAAAGGAGCGCCTTCAAAAGTTGGATGAAATAGAATCAAAGGTTATGCAAATCATGCAGTCGGCTGGAGGTACTTTGGATGAATTATCAAAAGACATCCCGTCTCAAAAGCAAATTGAGATACACGCCCACAATTTCCGGGACGCTGTTCGAGATGTGGAACTTGAACTAATTTCTCAGTTAAACTACCTTAGCCAAGTGTTGGCTGGTCTTCCTTATGAAAAAAACGTCTACAAAGAAACAATTGACCTGACCATTGCAGCGGAACGTCTTAAAAATGTAGAGAGAATACTGTCAAAAGCTTTGTAATTGTATTTGTAAATAAAATGTGTCATTATCCTTTTCTTCTTATAACCATTTGATAGCCCGATAACGTTACTGATGTTTTACATATTAGTCTCTTCAAGTGGATTCGTCACGGGATAGCCTTCCGGTGAAGAAAGTCGCCTATGATCATTCACCGAAGGCTGAGGCGATGGAATCTGACCCTGCGGTTACCAGTACAGTCAATGAGTCAGACTTGAGTTATTCCGATTCCCCCAGTGAAAAGACAGAGGTTTCCGTTTCAGCAAAGCCTCATTGGAGATTTTGTTCAGTACAAACGGCAAATCCGCCCCACTTTTCCGAAAGTGAAACTCCACCAACATCTGTACATGAATTCGAAATTCCAGAACTTGAGTTTGATGACGAAATACCAGATCTTGAAGGAGATCTAGGTAACCAATTACTACTTGTCTTGCACACATTATCCCTCCCCTCTTGCGTACCATACTTGCTACTCAATTGTCATTCATTGAAACGAAGTTCTCTCTCATGTTCGTTAAGAATCCCTATCATTTTTATTCTTTCGGCTTGTCATCCATTTTGGGACATGGAGTGTACGGCTCCTCTGTTCTTGCAATGACAGCTTGATTCAATTTATCTTAATGTTGTAGGGTTTGGCTCGTTAATTTTACTTGTTTTGATATTCACTCTCTTGTAGGTTTTTCGTGCTGATTTAATTGTTTTTCCAGTATTTGTAATTCTACTAAACTTCTGTGATGTGTAATTTTGTAAACTGTGGACGTGATTGTGTTTCTATTTACCTTAAGACACGTATGTATGTGTGTTTACATTGCCTTAAGTTAGAAGTTCTTCTGTATGACAAAATTTTGTGCATTTGGCTGCTAACAGTTTTTGTTTACGAATCCAATCGCCTTTGAATTTTACTCTTAGTCCACTACTTTTCTAAACTAATTTGATAGTAGTAGTGCTGATTTTCATCCCGTTGGTGTCTAATTTTGCATCTGATTCACGATTACTTCAAGTCAAACTCTGGACAAGAACATTTAGTATTTAGGAAGTCTACCTCATCTCCTTCTTGATGTTTAACACCATGCCTCACCGTGGTGTTGGTGTTTTCCCTCTTTTTTACTCCTAAGATGATGACGAATTCGATGTACCGATGACTCCCGATGGATTAATTGACGAAGACTTTGAACGCGAACTGGGTTGGTATGAAAAGGTAAGGACAAATCCTGCCGCGATAAGGCTTATCATCCATGTGTTAGGTTCGATCACACCCATAGGTGCTTGTAGTCTTACTTCCCATCTGAGATGGAGTTGTAGCAACATCATACATCTTTCTGGTATACGTATATTTTAGCTGTTTTAATGCTCTGTCCTTGCCATCCTTTGAAAAGTTGGGAGCTATTGATTCTGTAAAAAGTAGTGATGTGTGTCTTGACTCCCTCATCAGTTAAGTGCATCGGTGATGCTCCAAATACCGCCAGAAAAGGTACTCAACAATGACTTGGAACAGACTTGTAGTAGTCAAAGCAAGTGTCATTTTTAGTAATTGCATATCCTAAATTTCGATAGATTCCTTAACCACATGAATATTGCACATGTACAGTTTAGTTTTGTGTATTTCTGGAAAATTCATGTTATTTTCTTTTGTGTTACCAAATGTAATAAATTGGGAGGATGCATGGCGTTAAAAAATTACTGATATTTAAATAGGCAGAACTCCCATTCCATATCCTTGAGTTCCGTATTTCCGCTAGACTACACATTATTTAAGAGAACTTTATTATGCTCCCAATTCAAAATTTCGGGATATTTTAACTTTAACAAAGTTATTTTTTAATCGGTATTGTTACAATTTTGTGAGTTCGTTGGGCGGTCGCCTTCATTTCGGTTTCGTGTAGGTCACTACTTTGATTGGTTTTCTTCCCTCCCATGCATTGCTGCCAAAATCTTGTCTAGTAAACTTCGCGTTAGCCCTTTGCCAAGCAGAAACACTAGTGTTATTCCATTGTTGCCTTCGTTGACAGTTTTGTTGTTATGCTTGACCTTGACACTTGCAATGTCAGCGTCGCACATATTTGGCTTCACCCCTAATTTCTTGCCACAGTCTGGCATGCTTTCTTGATCAGTTTACGTTGGCTGTGGTTGCACCAACGGGTAACGTGTGGTCTCATCACAAGCGTGTTCGTTGAGTTTAAATTATTCATGCCATAGATGTTGGGCTTTCTCGGTCTGAGAAGGAGGTGTAATTGAACTCTTCATTTGTTGAACAGTGGTTGGATTGGCCTGAAAGTAGTTTCAACCGTTGTCTTGGTGATCAACTTTCCTCTGAAACCTTGGTAGCGAACTTAGTAAGCATTTTTGCCACCGTTGTGAGGTCTAAATACACGGCCAACTTAAACAGATCAAAAACTGAAAGTGGACAGGCATCTTCGGCTATATTAGTGACATATTTGAGGTTATTTGATACTCGCCATTTCGGTTAAGGCAAGTGGCATTTGAGCTCCACTTTCTGACCACCAGTTGCCCAGATTGGTCAAATCATTTGGTCAATTCACTTCCGCCACCCATTTCACTCTCCACCGAAACTGCTCAATTCAGCACTCGTCTGTTTTATTCCTTTTTTTTGCTAATTGCTATTGTTGTTGCTGTTCCTTTCATCTGCGAACTGTTTTGTTAATAAAATATGAGATCTCACGTGACAGGCAAAAAAATGATACTTGGTTTGAGTCTAACCTTGTTATTACGTAATTTAAGGCAAATATTAAGCACTTGTGTATTGTTTCTCGAAGTGATACGTTACTATCTCCTTTAGTGTTTCAGGCATGCTAGTTTTTTAGCAAATACCAAGCCTCGGAATTTTTTTACGCTCATTACATCCGTGCAGTACCAATTCACTAATGAATATAACATTTACCATGAATTGCCCTTATTATCTTTATTTCCGACGTACGGAAGGGCTGGAAGCCCATTAGTGTATATAATGTGTTACAGTCATCGGGTCCGAGTCACGGAAGTCAGACAGGTAATTGCGCCACTAGAAAATTCCCTTTCTCCCCTGAGCGTCATCCTTGACGTGTCTTATAGTTGTCCTTCTATCTCGGAGATCAAAAAGTGGTAGGGTGAATCAATGTGATACAAAGAAATTTCATCATGAAGGGAAAGCGTTCTAACCCAGAGATAATGGTGTGCTGTAGATTTCAATGAATCTGTCTACCTACTGTTGTACATCACTTAAGACTGAAGGTGATTCTGTGGCGTCGGTTAGTCGCGTAAACCCTCACCATCTCTGAAGCCGTAGTTAAGGCATACTGATGCGGAGAAAACGCTTACTGTTGATATTCAGAAGGGTTAAGAGGCTGGAAGTAGGGACGTACCACTAAGTTGGTGATGAAAATCACGTAGATTGGTGTCTACGAGGTTAAATACACATTAAACCAACAGCTGTGTGCGTAATTACAGCAACTATTGCGTTATTTTTAATCCTTGTTTGGATAGCTACGACCCTGTGAATCTGTTCCGCATATCTACGGGCTCAAATGTGGTTTCTATGCCTACACATCTTCCTTAACTTTTGCTTCCCACAAGTCAGGCCGTAGTTTATCTCTTTTGTCACCAGGCACCTCCTGGGAGTTCAATTTTGCGTCAGGATAAATTGCGTATCTGTATCCCCTAGTCCTCTGTGGCAGTTCAGAAAAATGCAACAAAAAGTGGGAAAGCTCTTTATGTAGGGAAGTGGAGGTTAACTGCCATATGAATCCTCGGTGTTCGTTCTGGTGAAATCATGAGAAATTTTGCTCTACTCCTTGATCATCATTTAAAATAGTTCTTGTAAAATTTTAATCCTTTGGGACGGATTCAAATGTCAAAGTTCGTATATTAAATTCTTTGATTAATCTAAGTGGAATCATCGCCATATCCTCCAAATCCCACTGGCATCTGTGGGCATTCCTCTTTGCCCTCGGCGCTCCCCGTGGTCACCCATCCGAAGGTAGTCGAGCACGTTTAGACCACCTTGTAATACCATCGATACGCATGGCCGGAGTAGGTGTCTAATGTCTTGATTTGATTGTAATACAACTTTCGTAATGCTTTTGCAGGAACTTTCAATTCAAGAAGTGATAGACTCAGAATTTCGCGATATCTCTCGACTGGGTATTATCCAGGTTGGCGTCTCCGATCACGATGGACGAAGTGTCTTCGCCTTTTTCACCTGTCGCCTCCCCCACACCGAACTCATCGATCATGATCGGTTGTTAGAGTGAGTTGACCCGTTGTATCGATTCCAGCCCTTCATAAAGTCGTGGAAAATCATTATAGTATGGAGGAAAATCCATTACTAATGCACAGGAAGGCTGGGAGGCTATGGGCATGGCCTGAACATCGTGTTGTCCATCGGTAGTGTAATCTGCGAAAGCTAAACAGCCCTCGTAGTTAAACAAAATGCCAACTTACTGCATTATTTTCCTTCGTGTTTGCACTTTTTTTTTAATTACCTGATATGTATAATAAACATGCCAAATAAGCTTGTCATTTGCAATCGTTGAATGGGGATCACGTGTTTCAGTTGTCAATGTTTTGTTTTGCACAGTAACTTCGTTTTATGGTTTGAAAAACCCCCAACTGAGCGTTGTGGCAATAGAGATGAGCTAACCTAGGATCGTTTCACGAATGAACCATCCTATCCTCCTCTTACTCTGCAGAGGAGTCGTCACTGACGACGTAGAGGCGTGTGAACGCCTTTACAACGTCTGCACCATTCAATCAAATATCTCACTGCTGAGTAGCTGAGTGCTTCATCACCCCACCCACTGTGCTTGAAGTGCCTTATGAATGCGAGTAGATATCCTTGGATTTGGGTTTTCTATCTTCTTCCCCGTTGACGGTTAGTCTGGCTCATCACCACACGACGTTGCATGCCGCTGTCAACCATTTCATGGATTGGACAGTTCTAACGACATGGGCGTCGACCCTGAGTGCTGTTACTCGTAATGGAACTCACTTGTCATTACCGATCGTAATATTCTTACGGAGGCACCCATTTTGGCACCTCTCCAAATGTTTATTGGCCATATGATTACTGAATCAATCAGTGGGTTGTCCCACCATCTCGGAACACGTCGTATGGACAATTCTAGTGAAATTTTGCATTATTATTATTGGCGCTTGAGGTGATGCTTTTTCAGATACGTGACAAAGACTCTTGAGCAGTACGCATCCTCGGACTACACTCTGGTCTACTTCCACTGGGGTCTGACGAGTCGAAATAAGCCTAGCTTTTCCTGGCTCGCACGGGCTTATCAAACCTTTGATCGAAGGTGAGATTGGGGGCCAAATCCTCTTCACTTAACAACGGTCAAATTATATGAAGCCTTGTGACCCCACTTTTTTTTCCAACCCCACGTTAAATTGCATCTCATTGGGATTTTTTTGGCATGTCATGAGCGTCTCTTGTTTCAAACACACTGACTTTCTCATGCATTGGGCTTTTGCTTTTGAGTTTTCATGACTCCTACCCGTTTAACTGTTTTTTTCACTTTTCACGTGATTTTAAGTGTAGTAGTACCTTGTTTCCCCACTGCGACAAATTGAAATAACTTCCTTTAGTGGATTTGAAATAAACTTACCTTCAGTATTAGCATTAATTTATGTACGTTGTTTAGCTTCAAGAAGAACCTCAAATCGCTCATCATCGTCTATCCAACTCGAACTGTTCGTGTGCTCTGGAACTTATTCAGTGCTTTTATCAGGTAAGGCCTCCTCACGAGAATTTTTTGCAATTAAATACTTAGGCAGTCCAAAGTAAATCGAGACTATTCTGTTTGGGTTGCAAATTACATTTACTTTTTCACATCTCCTCTTGCTCCTACGACTATGTCCACACTTACTTCTGCCTCTATGGATGATGCTTGACATTGAGAGGCAGGTAAGGGATAAGTGATTAACCGTCCCTTTTCAAATTTTTCTTTTGTGTCTACCGTTTCCACTGAAGGATTCCGCTCTCCAGCGCTTTATATGCTGACTGAGAGAATCGTCACGGCCTCTAGCGCCGCTCCGTTCCACAAGAGCCCTCTCACAGCACGTGTAGACCATGCACTGATTTAGTGAAATCCTAGTTTCTAGTTGTTTTGATGAGCTCGAGGTTAACCACTTTGTCTGCCGATCCATTCCATGCAATTCATCGGTATCTGAGCATCTCCTGCTTTATACAGATCCCATCGGTCTACCATGCTGGTGATATGGATACCTCCTCTTTGTCACCTATCTCCTTAGTCTCCCGACTCTTCTTCATGTTTATGATAAAGTGGTATATCTGCTAACCCATTCAGGAGTAACTTGGGTTGGATCGGCTGGTTGCTACGCAGCAAATTCATAGAACGGATATGTGGAAAGACACGCAACAGAAAGGCAATTAAAATCATACTGAATTTGCTAGTTCACCCTAACCTCTCTCTCGTGAGGAACTTTCAGACCTTTTTTTCTATTTACTTTTTGCGGAAGTATTGAGTATCACTCTAAACTCACCTCATTAAATAAAGTTCGACAAGTATTGTTTTACTATAACTATAGTTAATTTAGTGATCATCCTCTGTACATCCGCTTCAGCGCCAAAATGAAGAAGAAACTGCACTACGTTCAAAACCTTCAGGAATTGGAGAATCACATCCCGGTTTGCCAGTTGAATCTTCCTCTACGGATTCGTGAGTATGTTTATTCCTTTTCTTTCATTGCCGAAGGTGGAGTCATGTTTCATGTGCCCCCTACCTGCCTGCTTGCCTGCCTAGTTGTGGAATCTGATTACACTTTGATTTCCGCATGCAATCTGTTACCGTTTGCCTTTTTTAAAAGCAAATGGCTCAGAACTTGTTATGGCTCCTTTTTTCGCCTCATCCCCTCCCACCAGCTACGACAGAAAGATCGGTCTCTCCGACGTACCCCTGTCCATCGATTCCGCAGCTGTCTCTGTGATTGAAGACCACGATGTTGATGATACCCGGTACAATGTTCACCAACAATTTGGCGTATCCCTGGAGCAGTAAGTTAAACTACTCCCTCCTTCATGTGCTAAATGGTAGTTGGTTACATGACCTGGAAAACAGCTTCGTGTTTGCCAATGCAGTTTCTCGCAGAACCGCACGTTTCTTCCTCTATCCTCATCGCAGGTCATGTCTACTCTCTTGACCCAGGGAAGTCTAGGCTGGTACACTACGTGAGCGCCTCCACCCATTGGCAATTTGGGGGCACTTACCACACTTCATGATTCCACCTACCTTTGATTTTGTCCCTTATTAAGTCCCCACATTTTGTTGTAGTATTAAGGCCAACAACGGCGGACGCAAGCTACCCATTGTTGTTGAAGATACTATAACCTACCTTCGGGGTCATGGTGAGTTGCGTTGCTAGGCTTCTACTTCGATAATTTCACCCTTTAGATCATTAATTATGCTCTCGCGCTTGTAGGTCTCGATACCGTCGGTCTTTTTATCAAACCGGTCCATTTAATGACTCTACGCGATGCTCAATCCATGTACAATCGGGGTAGGTGGTTTCTCCCATTGTTACCGTTAAATCACTCAGGAATGCGTCTAACTTGTTTCCTTATTACACCCTTTTCTTTCAAGGTGAATACGTTGATCTGTGCGAAATAAGTGACCCTCACCTAGCTGCCCACTTGTTAAAATCCTTCCTCTCCGAATTGAAAGAGCCCCTCCTAACCTTCGATCTCTACGAGAGCATTCTCAAGTCGTGTAGTAAGTCGGAAGGATATTTGGATTTACGAACCCTAAAACACTGTACTTCAATCATTCAAACTGTGTCGTGTCCTTCAATTTACAGAAACAGGTAAACTGCACGGAAGTAAATGCATGTTGGTTGTCCAGACTGCCTATTGTGCACGCTGAGAGCAGCACCCACGCATGTCTTCCAAACCTGCATTGGTATTTATAAATCTTCTCTTACGACTTTCTGCTGCCTTTCTTGCTATTTCACAGGCCAAACACCCTGGCAACGAGTGATTTCCATTCGACGACTCCTCACCGTTCATCTTCCGCATGAGAACTATGACATTTTGCACTATATCTTTAAGTTCCTTACTGAGGTTAGTTGACACTTCCCTTAGCAGGTGTTTTGTGAAGTCATGTTTTGTTCCGCTACTGACATCACCTCCGAAAGTTATCTCTGTGGTGGCTCTCACATTTGGAAGCGGTCCTTACTAAACTGTTTGAATGGAGCTATTGATAAGTCTAGATTTTGTTGGAACTTTTTAATTGTTTTTCATTCTGGCCGTTTGAAGATTTACTTTATTTAAACAAGTACTGCGAATTTTGCCAAAATTCTCCGCTTAAAGCGATCTTATAGTTTGCGGATTTTGTCAGAGAAAGGGGCTTTCGTATCATTACTAAGCCATGTATGATCAAATGCATCTGCATAGAAAGACGTGGTCTTTTTCGTCAAGTGATAGATCCATTTCGAGGTCGTCGTAACCTCTGCCAGAGCTAATCTAAATAAATCGAAAAGTAAAGAGTGCTTTCGTGTTTCGTCATGGAAAAAGTTGTTTCATAGGTCGCCGCTAATGGCACAAGTGCTAGCCGTTCCCATGTGGAAAGCCCTCCCTGCCAAATGTTGGTGGAAGCATCCACTTTCTCTGTAGTGCCCACCTGCAAACAATATATCCTACCTATTCAAAAATTGGAAAAAAAACTGTTACTGTCTACATCAGATCAAGAGCGTTATGCACCCATGTTTTTCTTCCGTTTAAACTCATGCAGGCTAATTTTTAATGATCTAGTTATTTACAAACTGGCAGAGAATACATGTAACGCGCTTGAGACCTCGAACTAAGACTAGTAAATAGGGATGTCATTATAGCACCCCGTGATATCCTTGAAGACAAAAGAAGACATAAAAATCAGGCGGAATATGTACTGCCGATCTATAGTAGGGATTGAGGTTGCTGTCAATCCAAGAGACCAGACTGCTCGGTGGAGGTACAATGGCGAAGTACACTAAGTGGTCCCTTACCAAAATCGGGAGGTAAACAGGCAATTAAGGTATTCCGTAGCCCCTTCCCTCTTTTGAGCTTTGGCCCTGGCGCTCCCCTTGGTCAACCTCCCGCGTCAGCCATCATAACGTAATCGGTGCCGAAAGGGAACACTCACCAGCCGCCCGTGCCAGTCACTGAATCTCCATGCACCTGAGAGGATATTGGATCGCGACGTCACTGAACCCTTGTGGTGATTCCACTGGATCCAGAGTTTCCTTCTCTATGGGAAATGGATTGGAGGGAGGAGGGATTGTGCTGGTCACCACGAGTGTCCATTGCTAGTCGTAGGAACAATGGCCCGAAAATAAAGTTATGTAACACTCCATTGCTACCTGTGCATATCCATCTGGATTCTATTCAACTTGTAGAGAGGCGGAGGAGGCACCGTGAGTTCATATAATTGACATCTCCGGTATGAACCTTTCCAGACAGTTCACGGCTACGGCTAGTGCCACTTCAGTTGCTAATGGCTAGGGATGTCGCCGATTTTAGACGTCATTTTCAGACCTTCAATTAGGAGTCGTCACTGATTCTCCCATCCGCCCCGTTAAGGTTTATTACCCAGCAGTAGAAATCAGGTTTAACGTCCTTTACGATCGAGCTCGCTTTTCCTCTGCTACCAGTGTAGCGTCCCAAGACTAACTTGAGGGTGAAAAATCCATAATGCTCTGGCAGAATATGTAATGTCGACATACGGAAGGCTTGAGGGCTGCTAGCATGGCCTGGAGGTCAGTCCACTCGGTAAAAGAACAATAGCGGAGCTCCCTAGGTGGCCCGTTACCGAAACTGCGCGTTAAGCAATCAGCGTTTTATTGTCACCCATTGCTCACCGTTCTCCTCTTGCTTGTCAAGGTGCTTGAACACTCGGCAAAGAACATGGTGACAGCGGTGAATCTCTCCATTGCGATGGCTCCGAGTCTCATTCGATCGCGCCAGGATTTTGTGATGCCCTCGCAGCGCGTACAGAGTCTCATTACCTCCTTCACCCAACTCTGCATCACCCATTTTGAGAGCGTATTTGTTCGCACCTAACAGACCTCGTCCCCTGTCTTTGCTTTTTAACTGTCATTTTTGTGGCTTTTTTCCCCTAGATTGCATATTTTCTTTTTTAACAATATATGTATGATGTGTGTGTGATGGGCGCACCGTTTAGCACCTTGGCTTCTAGCGTTGCATTCGTCGTGACGTCTCGTTACTTTCTTGTATGCGTCTGAATATTGTATCTTACATGACATGGCTTCTTTATTAGTTGCACTTAATGTGCGTCGCAAACTAATTTGCTGAGATATTCGTGGCCTGGGAATAAACACGTTTTTCTCGGTTTTGGTGCTACGGTTGAATTGGGCAGAAAAGCATTTCGTTCCAGTTAGTGCAGCGTTAAAACAACATAACGTCCGATCCGTAGTTGTTTTCTTCTGACATCTCATGCGAAATCAAGTAACGGAGGCATTTACCCGCCTTAACAATGCCTCGGCGGCATCCCCGGTTTCGCACTCCTCAGTAGATTTCATTTGCAGTCTGTACGCATGTATCGGCAACTCTTACCCATTTTTAAAGGGATTTTAATCAGAGAGACTATGATTTTAATTTAGCGTGGCTAGTTTCGTTTCACATAACTTTCCTCTCCCTAGACTGTAGACAAACTTATTATTTCTGCTCACAGGCAATTAAGGTTATGGAGGATCAGGGTCTGCTTACTCTCCAGACGCCAGTGGCCTCCGATCAGTCACGAGGTTGGAGTACACTGATCTCTTCTCGCCTAGCAGGTGCATTCAAGCGGGCACGCATTGCGCAATGATTACGTTGACCGTTTCTGCCTCTTGAGATCCGATTACCATACTATCCGCGGTTTTGGTCTCCCAATACTTATGGATGTCTGCAATCAATCTACCACCGGACTTGGCCTTGTCAGAGACTGACACCGATCACACTGTTCACACTTTAGGGTGTATGTATTTATATTCGTAAATTGGGTGAGAAGTGAAAACTCAGATAGAAATTCATTTGTCGATACTACCATTATTTGGAACAAAGCTGTCACGTGCTTGTGTGGATGTACATTTTAGGTAGCTAGTGAGAAGAGTGAACCAAACGTGTGACCGGGACATCATAGTTCCCAAAGTAGAGACGAGTTTTGATTTACTTACCCACACAATTATTGATAAACCCTATATTAGCACAATATATGACGCCTTTTTTCACCTGGTGTTCAAGATCAACGGGTATGAAATCGGAGGTAGGAGAGAATACTGCACCATGTTTTATTTTGTACACCATGTAGATCCATGTGACTTAATTGCAAAAAAACCTCTTGGTAGCAGGAGTGTCCATGTATCTGGTAAAAAATTAACTAGTTCTAGGTTTTAAAAAGTTCAAATATGATAACATTCAGTGTATTTTCATTATAGTATAGTGTAGTAAAATTCAGTATAGTATGATTGCTATTATTTAGCACATTACGTTTTCTTAGCCATAGCGCTTTATTAAATAATATGCTATTATTTCATGCACATAAATAAAAATGTATGATAAACTTCTGAAATAATGGATTATGACTACAAATTTTATTATTCAAAGTCATGCAGCTGCCGCATAGTGCCCTTTGCAGAAGCCCCGTATTATCAGTAAAATCTTTTGGTCCTTAGTAGAAGTCTATCAAATAAAAACTTATTTGTTTTTTATTTTTCGTCCTTTAAAAATTTGTTGTGTTTTAATCTACCACAAGGGGTTGCTTTAAACCAATTGGCCCTTCGATAGGCGTCTTTATTTGTGAGTCATCGTGATAATTCGGTCCACTGGCTTGACTCTGTTTCTTTGTGTGAATTATCGCAAAGTCCCTTCTAAACCTTTAAGTGACGCGTTCACTTAATGATTGACGACCGTATAAACGAATCTTACTTGTCCGCTGAAGTTGCTCAAGTGCCTGAATCGGTCTCGCATCGCGTGATGTCGCATTACTGTGTGGACATTCAAGATCAGGCACCGCCTCGGCCAGCCAGCCTGTCTCTCCGGTTTGATAGCAGCTCAAACAACTATGTCGATCTCAAATCTCACCAAATTTCCCGAGGTTATCATTCAGTAAAAAGATCTGATAGCATGGATCGTGACAAAGTCATCGGGCAACTTGAAAATAACGGCTCCACCCCTATGACTCCAACCAGTTTTTTAAATCCAAAGGAAATAACCGCAGAGCAAGAACAATTTGCTGAGTATGTTCGACGTGTGGTATTCAGTTTTTCATACCATGCGTCATGTCTAGGTATTACGTTGTGCCTAACTGCATTTGCTTTTTTATGAACCCGTTTTTTATGGTTACTAGTCTAAAGGTTTACCTAATTTGTATGTGATTCTTATCTTTGAGTTTATGCTGTTTTTTTTTGTTAAAATGTCAACTATGCACCGGGAATTTTCCTGTCCCCTGACGAGCACGTGCCTATCCCCATTAAGAGTGCGTCTATCCAGCTTTTGTGACGACTGTTTCCATAATCATTTAGACTGTGTTTGCAAAGCAGAAACACAAGTGGTTACTGTTTTGTGAGGGTTGACCCTTGCAAATTACTTGTCTTACCAATCCGTTTTGCACACGAAACAGGCAACTTACAAAGACTATTGACAAAATAAAGAGTGAGCGGGAAGGGTCGCTAGTCGAAGAAATTCATCTTCAGCATCATCCTTCCTCGAACACTTCGCCTGGTTACGCTCCGACTGATCGTGTCACAAATCCACCTACACCTTCGCCGCAAGCCACACAGGCCATCCGCGTTAAACTCGGGTACGTGCGCGACATCTGTTGTCGTTTTCTCATCCTTCTTCTAATCTCTCCCTCCGATTTCTATCTTACAGTTGCCCAATCGGGCTTCTACCCCCCATTTTTCAGCTCCCACTGTCATTTACCTTTTGAAGCTGTCATGTTACCTTCCCGTACAGATTCTTCGGACTGTATTCTGGCTGTTTCGCTTTACTTTTTAGATTTCAATCTAGAGTACTTTAAGTCGTCTTTTAGAAGTGTTCTAATTTTCTGTTTTGTCTATAGCTGTTTCCGGGCCTTTTAACACTACATCAAACCATCTTGTTTTTTACCTCTTGACACCTGATATATTTTGTAATTATGCCGTTAGAGTGATTGCTTCCCGAATCTGGGGACTAAATGAGGTGCTCTTTTTCATGAAAATATTGAATCTTCAGTGAATTATGCTTTTGCGAATGTTTCTGGTACCACTACTCACTGCTGCCTTTCCGATGGTTTTGGTTTTAATGTATGGAAGTCGCTGTTACTCGTTTGTGGTATAATGGTAACGTTTCCCATGATTTCATATTGGCAGTTCTGCACTCATTATTTGATCCAATTATCCTTTACCTCATTTGCAACCGCCTTCGTACTAACCCAGGTACTTCACTAGGGGCACCCATGCGTTGTACTTCCATCGTGTTTTTGTGCGATTGCTGCTGTGTTTATCTGTGTACTTAGTAGACACTTTCTCACCATACCTCCCATCTTGCCCTCTAAGGTAACCTCAAGCACTGCGTAGATTCTGGCTGTAGGACTCGTGCATGGACTGATTTGTAAGGGAATTAGCGAACTGAGCTGCTTCGGCTATTAAAGTTTACATTGTTTTTGCTCCTGCTTCCCTTATGCTCTGAATGATGAACAAGTCGGACGTCTTTTGGTAATCCACACTAAGTGGGTTTTCAATTGTCAAGGTCCATTGCTGAAACCCAGTCTCATACAGTTCTCCCCATGTTCTCGTAACACTTCGCGGCTTCTTGGATTAAAAATAATGATGCACAGGGCTTACTTGTTCCTTTTCTATCGTTGTTTATCCTTTATCTGCGCAATGGAACTGGTGATACAAATTGTTGTCGCCATTTCAGATTCCTCGATTCACCAACCTGCTTCTCAATACAATTATTGCTGTTTTATTGGCCATGAATATACCGAGTGGATGGCTTAGGATTTCCATGTGCACATTTTTATCGAGCCTCTCTGTCCTCTGTCAGTGACGATGAAACCGATGGTGCTGCAACCGCAGGCACGGTACCCTCGAGTCCGATGTTGCTCTCTGATGTTGCTTCGATCCACACCGCTTTTTCCATGGCGCCCGCCCCGAGCATTTGTACTAACCCCTCCGCTGCCGTCGCAGCCGCTTTGCACAACCTCCGCGCTCAGGACGGTGGCACCACCGGTTCTCCCCCCTCCACCACTGGTGACTCCACTTCCCCCTCTTCGCCTTCGTTGGAGAATCCGACGGTGGCCAACCGGTACCCTAACGTCACCACCGCCGCTGCCATCAATAACCGGTATCCTAGTCTGTCGCTTCCTCCACTGAGGACCGATGTGGCGGACGGTGGTGGTGGTGGTGGCGGAGGAAATACTTACGCCTCAGTTGGTCTTGCTGATATTTTGGTCGGTTCGGCAGAGGATCCTGTCCCACCAACTCCGGTCGGGGGTGCTAGCGCTTTGGCCGACCTCACCGCCGCTGTCACCGGACAAGTGATTGTCAATCCCACTACAGATGGATTCTTACATCTCTTTCATCACTCTACCGATCAGGTTAGTTTATCGCATCAAAACAGAAGTTGTGGTTCAGTGAAGAAGGCTAGTTCCCAAATCCCGGAGTGCAGAAGACATTGTCAGCTCATTGTTCAGGGTGTTAAGGTGGAAGGGGTGGGAAGTTAAGGGTACGAGGTCAAAGTTCATTGACGATGGGGTCGTGGCCTCAACGGCGTTTCGCACTGGTCTGATGATGTTCACTCTACTACCTGTCTCGTACTCTTCCGCTTATCTCTCCCAGGAAGAGGAAGAGGCGGAGGTCCTACGTCCACAGCAGAATGAATCATCATCGTACGTGTGTGTGTGCGTATGCATGACTCACACTGACGACTCCCCACTCACGTACACGCGCGCTTCTCTCTTCCCTCCCACCCAGACGCAAAAGCCAGTTAACCAGCTCGCTAGCTGGCTGGCTAGCGCACATTGTTGTTGATGCATGAATCATTGGGGCAGGCAAAATGTACACACATCCACTGGTGATTGGCTGGTGTAGTGTGCGCGCGTAAACACAATTGTGCATGTGCGTGCCGTTGCTAATTTTAGGACTTAATGCGTGTGCGCGCACCACACGTATCATCCCCACGCGCCCGAAGTAGACAAAGAACGACTTGTTTCAATCTTTGATACGTGGACACGTGCTCTCAGTCGGCATCGTAGCGCGCGGAGTCGAAGGCCATGGAGCTAAGCTGGTGGTGGAAATCCTGCAGGCTAGAGGTTGATTAGGCTTCCGCTTTGACAAGTATCTTCAGCTGAATGGTGCTGAAAGTTTTTAGTGTGATTTGGATGTTGCGCGTGAATAAACTGACAGTAGGTGGGGGAAAGCTTCTTTTCGCTTCTTCTGAAGTCCTGTGGGATTGGTGTAAAGTGGGGCCGTATTACAGGACATTTCTACTTCGTTGAAGTCTGTTTGAGGACGCTTTGTACTAGCCGGTGTGTAAGTTGGAACTGCGTAGTGGGGAATGCTTGTACCCAGTCGTCCCTTTATGGACTATTTTGACAGGGTAGACTTAAGTGTTTAGGCGGCCTTCCAATAAAGAGCCTTCAAAAGTGGATCATTTAAACGGGAGGATGTTATGGGTATGCGTCATGTATTCGGCAACTGGCCACAATAAATCATGTTGGTAACTGACTAGTTTTTGGTGTAAAGCGATGAGGAGTTAAATATGAGATGCTCCTGCTCTGGTAGTACTCACATTTCCCAGTTTTCGCTATAATGCAAAACCAATGGAGTAACTGGGCCGACAGTTGATTTTCCTCTGAGATTGGTAGAGAATGGGTTAAACACAAAGCCTCTTGTTTTGCCTTTTACTGATCATTGAGAAAGTGTCACGGTGAGAGGTCTCTTGGTCATTTTAAGATCTTCAAATTAGGTCTTTTTACCGAGTCTCGCATAAAATCATATGCAATATCGAGTTGTAGAATTGTGTTTCTTTGAATTATCAAAGATTTAACCTTCTTTCACAACAGAATCCCCTGATGGACCCGAATGGCTCTCGTGGGAGCGGTGCTTTGAGCCAACGCCACCTGACAAACCTAGTTTCCTACGACAGCCATAGCCTCGCACACCCGCGACAACTGCATGACTACATTCCCTCGAACATGGCAAGCTCGTACACCAGCGAGGATCAGCAGCAACAGCAAGAGAGCATGATGCTTCCACAGAAGCGGTCCCTCTCCAGCACGACTTCGATGACTCCGCCTCCCTCCACCGTGAAACGCAGTCGTCGGCGCCACGAGCCGACCATCGCTGCTGCTCAAGCGCTCATTAATGCCACTTCCAATAGCATGGGGCAGCTCTCTTATGCTCCCACCGATGTGGCAAATATGGTGGGATTGAAGATGGAGGACAGACCCGTAACCCATCAACCCATTCAGCCGGCGGTCAATACAACAAGTAACGCAGGAAGTGGACGCAGAGTAGGTGTGCCTACCGCTGGGGGTCAGCTGACCTCTCAGTCGATGCCCATCACGTATGAGTCGCAGCCGATCAGTCGACCTGACGCATCCCTCGCGTCTATGGAGGAGGAGATGTGCTGTAAATTATCCCACCTGGTTTCTTGAATTGCGCCCTATTACAGGCGTAAAAATATAATCTTTTTTTTTCTCCATTCTCCCAGCTGACCCTTCAATGCTGAAGATAGAAAAGAAGCGAGCGCGCAACCGCCTAGCAGCACGTCGATGTCGTGAGAGGAAGGTGAATCGAATTGCGACTCTAGAAAGTGAAGTAGCAATGTTGAACACGTATGTGGAGCAGCTGCGTAGTCAGTTAGAAACTGCTCAAAAGGAGGCGAATCAGTTGAGGCTCTACCTGGAGCAGTTGTCCGAGTCATATCCCGGTCTGCAGGATAAGCTAAAATCCCTCATTCAGCCGACATCGCAAGTCGTGCCACCCTCCTCCAGCCTTCATCCGCCTCCACCACTGCCTGAGTCATAGTTGATCAATTCGACTTCACCTCGGGTTGACTCTCCGCTCTCAGCGTGTATGTGTGTGCGTGCGTGCCTCCTTTCACTATCTTCCATTCAAACGGCCTTCATCATCGTGTTTTAGCTCCCCCCCCCACACCTCGGTACTACACCTCCTCCTCATCATCATCACCATCACTTCGCATCTCTCCTTCTTTTTATATTTTTATACAATTGTAAATACCCCAACAGCGGTGGCAGTGGCGTTTTTTTGCCCTTTTACTTGCTCGCCAAAAAAATTGCATTTTCACAACGATGTGGACTGAAAGGCAAGAACGCGGATTCATCCCTCTTGTTGATGCCCATGATGATGATACTTTGCGCCCTGGATGAATTTTGGTACTTTGGATAAGTGCGTATGCTGTTTGTTTGTGCGTGTGTGGGCGCATTCCTTTGAGCATCCTCTTTTTACCCGCTCTATTTGGTCTTTTTATTATGTGTCTCTAAGCTCTTTTATATAGGATTCGCATACCTTCCTACCCACTCCGCTGTCTCGTACCCCCACCCCTCCCTCCTGGTGTATGTATTTGTAAGATAGACACTTGTCTGCGCCACTTTGGCGTCTGTTGGAATATACGTGAAACATCACGCTACTCGGCTGCCCTTTTTTTGTCTCCATTGTGGGGGAGGGTTTTGGTGACTGATTGTAGTTTTGATTTCACCTAAGGTTTGATATGCCTTCTCTCCTCTCGTAGCGGAGGCAGGTGTGCCTTCTTGAGTAAAGCCGGGGCGTTTTACTCACCTCTGGGAGGATCTAGGGTCGGTTCCTTCGAGAAGAGTCTGCTAGGTGGGATAGCTAGCCGTAGTCCTGACACTTGAGCGTGAGTTATGCGTCTCTCAGGCAGGGGATAGGTGTCTCCCCGAGCCGCATGAGCTACATTGGCTTGGGAATTCAGCCATGGAAAGAGTTGTGCCTTTGCGCTTGGTTCTCGGCTCTTGAAAAGGTTCTGGGAGAGGGGAAGAATCTCATTTCCATGCGATTCAATGACTTGCTTTTTGCAGGGTGTACGTGGAACCATCTAGCTGCCAGAACTTCACTAGGGGTTGAACTCTTCAAGTCGTCTGGGTTGTCGTCTAAAGTGCATACCGGATGGACTTCAAAATTTACTGGTAGAGAAGCTCGTTCAGTAGAGACATCCGAAACTATTCAGCATTGGGTGGATGATCACCATCGAAAAGTCTCTTAAATCTAGTCTTCGTCTCCTCGTTGCTCTCGGCTATTCGTGGGGCAGTGGTACTCGTAGTAGTCCATAGCATCCCCTGAGACCGGGGGCATTGAAACTTCTGGCACTGCCAGGAGGCCATCCTACTCGGCGGAGGTACACTGGCGGAGCACCTACGTGGCTCATTACCGAAATGGAGGCGTAAACAATCAAAGTGCTACACAGCCCCTCGCTTCTTTCGAGCGTCGGCTCTGGTGCTCGCCTTGGCCAACCTCCCGCGTCAGCCATCACAACGTAGTCGATGCTGTAGGGAAAACATCTACCACGCCAATCATCGAATTTCCCTCGTAACTGAGAAGGTGCGTGCCTCCGACGTTACTGATCCCTCTTGACGATTTCACTTAAACTCGAGTTTCATCCACCCTGGGAACTAAATTTGGGGTCGGGAATTGTCCTCGCCACCGTGCGTGTCTATCACCAGTCGCAGTGACACTGACCCAAAAAGCAGGATCATACATCAACAATTCCATGGGAGTAGGGATTCGTGTCTAATCCTCCTTGGAGTGTTTCACCCACCTCAATGCCATCCAACCACATCTATCTTGGTTCTATCTAACTAGTAGAGAAGTGGAGGAGGTGTTGCGTGTTCACTTCCTTGACATCTTCAAAAACGAATTGTTAACAACTCTGTAATCAACTTTTCCAGATGGTTCACGATGAGTGGTGGTTCAGGTGGCAATAGCATTCCTCCGGACCGCGGAATAGGAGTAGCTACCGAAGGTAGACGTCATTTCCAAGCCTTCTATTAAGGGTCTTCACAGACCCTCCTATCCACAGCCCATACACTTCTTCCTGCCAGCTAAGGTTTATCCCCCATCAGGATAGTTGCCCTTCAGGATAGGGTTTTCTGCCCGCTGCCATCAATGTAGCGCCTCCAGACTTCCTTGATGATGAAAAGAGGCAATTCTCGGGTAGAATATGTATTGCTGAATGGCCAGCTCACTTGGCGAAGGTATCGTGGGGGAGCCTCCTTCGCGGCCTGTTACCAAACATCCAACGCATTGCAATCCATCTTTGCTTAGAAGACGTATCGTCTGAAACGTCCATCTCAAATCGAGGACGAATGCCTCCGTAACGTTGGACAGTCGGGACGGATAACTAGACAGACAGGTTCAGCGGTCTAGATTCAGTTTTCAGATGAGTTATAGCTCTCCTTCACGAAAGCGGTACTATCCAATTCCAACCTCCTCAGTGCCGAATTTAGGCGATAGAAGCAACAGAAAACTCGAATGGCAGAGTTAGCTGTCCAAATCCAACCGTCTTGTAGGGCTTCCAAAGTAGGGCAGCCCTCCCTTACGGTAAGAAGTACGCAACTGGGAATTCAGTATCCATGGCGGATTGATAGTATCCTCCTTGCCATGGAGGCGGATCGTTCAAAGCGTGTCCATCAGCGCAGAGCTTCATCTATGAAGCAGCAAATTTTATAAGGATTTTTCAAGGGCACGGCAAGCACCATCATCTGCACTTTTCTTTTTCACCAGAATTTAGGCATCAAAACTTAAAGTGCCTTCTGGAACGTCCAAATTGCCATAGCAAGTTGTTCACACGATGTCGGCGATCTTTTCGTTTCAATTAGGGAGGAGACAATAAAGGCATCTTCAAAAGGGAGAATCGACAAATGCCTAACGTCCTTAGAAGTGATCTGTCATAATGTCACCCGACAATATGAATAACCACACAAGGGCTTGGCAATAGCAATGCAATTTCCTGACTCACAGCTCTCTCTCTCTTGCCTCTTTTTCGCCTTCCGCCCACAGTCGCAGTCTTAGTCATGACTACTCTGCCTGTAAAAAGGATACACCACCGCCACCAGTGGGGAAAGCCTACAGCAATGTACGCGGTGACGAGGCATAAACGAATCTGATCGCCCCATCTGTGACCTTGAGATCGCATGACTGTTTGCGCAACCACTGAAGGTGGGTTGAATCGCACACAACTGCCACCGCCGCGCACCCACTTGCCTAGTGCGCGTGAGAGAGCGCGAGGCATGACACCATTGTTAGGTGCACCCATGGGCTTATGATTCAACACCCACCCACATGATGATAGATGTGATAGTGGCTGTTGTTATTGTTGATGTTTTTGCTGTTGCGTCGACGGTGGTAAAACACAGCATCGAGAGAGGGAGGTGGGTGGGGGGACCCCCCACCTTGCCACATTGTAAATGCCCCTCCCATGTGAGGAGAGGCTTGACCTTCAATTTCACAATCCACAAATACACTTGTGAATATTCCCACTCTGGTTATTGAGGTTTTAAACTTCCCTGCCATTCCAAAACTCCACTTCATCAACCTGTAATACTGATGCCTTGCAAATACCAAAAGTTGGCCCATCAGTGAGTTTAACTTGAAAGGGTTTTGACGTCAATTAATAAAAGGATTGGTGATAATCATTAATGAAAGCAATTAAAATAATTGTGTGTGTGTGTGCATGTGAAAGATGCAAATCACATTTGGGTTTTTAATGCTCGAGCACCCAGGAGGACAGGGGCTCCATTTGTATTGTGTGAGCTATTTAAAAAGGATGTAATTAGGTGATTGAATGCAATGCTCCCTTTATCCTATTAAAAAGGAATTTTTCTCTTCAATTCACCGCGTTCTTTTAAGGCAGAAAGCCAACTCCACCTCCATCTGGCTACCACCGGTAAGACTCTTCTCCTTAACTTATACCTCAAATTTTTTACAGCTATCACACTTCTCTTGCCTTTTAACTCTAAAGTTGGTATTTCTGTATTTTTTTACGTAATAATATACAGTGTGGAAGGTGCCAGGAAGGTACCTCAAATTGTAGATGGACGCATTTATGCTACTTATTTTGTTATAAGCGTCATGCTATCATCCATCTTCTATCGTTTCCCCTACTAGAAAGATTCTAGCCTCTTGAACGGCGTTGCGGCAAATACTGGTAAAAAAGCAGGAAAGAATTTTTTTTCAGGTACTGAGAACTGCCTATTTGTAATTAGCAAAGCCGTAAATCGAGGGTAACAGTGGTATGTCTACAAGCATCTTTTAGTTATTTTTGAGATCTTTAATAAAGCATAAATAATACCCGACATTATTAAGCCTGTGTATTTCCTACCTCACGCTTGTACGGGTTGGCCTTTCCCTACTCCTGTCAGTAGGCACACTGGAATCGGTGAAAAAAAGCCACCGCGCATTAAGGCGGGATGTTATTCTGTGGTTGCAGTCCCGGACCGGACACCACACTGATGATAGCGGTTGCGGCAGTCATAATCGGCATAATTTTTCCTGCCTCTCTCTTTAAGGCAGTTTTTTGCTGCGATTCAAGTGCCTCCGAACAGCGAATGCCACTTTTGATGGTTGGTGGGTGATGGAATGGATGTCACGTGATTGGAGGCAGGTCATCTACGTGGTCGCCTTAGCATTCTACAAAAAGATTTTTTTTCTTAATTTCTAGTACGACGCGTAAAAGTAATGAGGGAGGACACACTTTCCAAAGGAGAAAATTATGACTGATGTGCAATTTCCCTCCCACAGTGCAGACCGATTTGCCTCCCGTGATATTGTCTAGTACTTTACAGTGATTCCTCGGTCTTAATCATGGTGGGTCTTACAAAAGCTTTGTTAAGTTTTTTGGTTGTCTGTCATTATTCTGGTTTTATTAAAATGCTTTTCACCACCACCAAACCCCTGGTATTTTACATTGTTCTGGTGTGACGCCATCACTTGTACCACCAACTTGATCAGATTTTCAACTTTCGCTCAAAAAACTGAGAAATCTAATAGCCCTCAGATTGGGGATATATTACAACTCTTTTATTGCTTTAAGCCCAATCACTCTGGTAGTTGCACGAATTTGCGTAAGCAGCTACCAGGAGTTGATGGAAGAAAAATACATGTTACACGCGTTTTAAGCCAGTCTCAGCTCAGAGTGTCTCGGGTACGTGGTGGTGGTAAGGGCCATCTTGGATGTAGGTATTTGAGAGGAAAGAAAGTGTAAAATTGCTGCATTACTGTTTTATTCGTCTTCTTACGTCCAACTCTGGAAAATATCAGGTCTTGTAAAATTAAGACTACGAGGTAATAAGATACGGACGCAGTCTAACGCTCCCGCTGTGTGCAAGTTTCGAACCACTCTGTTCAAAAAGCGCGTCGTAGCCCTAACAAAGACCTGTGCCCATTAGCTACGTGCTCGCGTCTGATTGGTTGGCCATTTGGCCCACACTCGGTCCTCCCTTCCTTCCTCTCGCCCTGTCGTATATCCAACCTGCCCGTTCCTCCCCCCTCAACCCTCTCTTCATCGAATGTGTACGTGTATGTGGGTGTAGAGAAGGGCGTCTCCCTCCTGTCCATCCTGTCGTGAAGTTACGGCGCCCCGTAAGTGATGCACTGGGGTGTTTTAGCTTCCGGAACCTCTTTGCAGACGCTATTAGAGTCACAAGTCTGGATGGAACATAACCGTGAGTGTGTAAGGACCGAGAGGCTGCTAGCAGACGTCATACTACCATGCGGTGATGGGCACCAACCCTTGAAGAAATCATTGACGTATTAATTGGTGCTATGCCATAGCAAAGAATTTTCTGTCCGATTTACTGAAGTACTGGCTGTAGTCATATGTAGTCTGATGGGGAGCGCAGTATTTTACAATCTTACATTCAATAAAATGAAACCAGTTGTTGGAAAAATGGTAATGGTGAACTTTACTTATTTAATCATCACCCTGATAAGACTTCATTAAAGCAACCAATAAAACTGAAGTTTTGAAGTTATTAAACATGTGGTCACGAGCATCGTGAATAGGCCATCCCAAAGAACCCTCAATTTGGTGTTTTGGTAGAACCAATTAAAACACCGTCGAATAGATCCGTGAGACGTGGTGGATGTTGTATCATCAAAGACACAAAGGGATCAACAATTTTTTAACGTCTCAAGTAGAAAAGCCACGGACTATGCCTTAGGAATATCATAGTTTATCAGATAGGAGTTAAAAAATTTGTCGTATGTCACCCGAATTAGACTAATAAAAGAATCAGGACAGTGGGATAATCCCCTCAAAAGGTGGTCGTTGCTTTAGGGGCACTGATTTTATCTCCAAGTCCTCCCCCCATTTTCCAAATGAGGAGAGATTTTCCAATGGTGGGCGCTTTCCTCCACAGTTTAGTGTGGGAAATTGACTGAATCTTGAAGTAGAACTAACCGAAAACTGAAAATCACATCTTTTGGATAAGAAACATCCACTCCCGGATCAGCAGTAAGTCAGATACGCCTTAACACGGTTCTATTTTTACTCAAATATCAAAATCACAAAAATATCTCTCGCTTACTGTTTTGCGATTCACAGCTTAACTCCCACATGGTTTTGTTAATTTGGAGGGATACCACTAGGGGCAGTGCAGATCTAGGCTGTACTTATCTCCGCATCTGCAATGGTGGCTTTGGAGGAGCACCTACACCATTAAGTTTGATACTGTGGTAAGTGGCTATTCTCTCTCAGTGCTACCAAAGCCACTTTACTCACTTTTGCTTCTCAAGGCAGTGAGATGAAGAAATCACCGCTAAAAAGTGCATTTTTGTTAAGAGTACTTCTTGTAGATCTGATTTATATTTGTAGCGTGAGATTTGAGGAGGCGAATACCTCCGAGGAGATAATGTAGAATAAGCTATTGTGAAACATTTGTCAGGGTAGAATGCAGTAGAGGGGGTGATTTGGCTAGAGGGCAACTAACAGGTACATAAGACGAAAAAAAGTTGCAATTTCGTCTGCAGGTTAAACTGATTTGGAGATTGCCATTCACCTGTAAGGCGCAGATCTTGAATCTGAACGATTAATTGACTTAGATTAACTTTAAGTCTGTTCAGAGGAGTGAAGCTACCTAAGCAGAAACCAAACGCTTTAATCATCTCTGAAAGAGCATCATGCTTTAGGTCTGGAACGACACAATGCCTGTCCGCCTAGTGGTAGATTTGTGACACCCCAAGACTCCCTTGAAGACGAAAGAAAAGGAAGTTCATGGGCCAAGTAATATTTATTCAATATACACTAGGGATTAGACATACCGGCCTGGCGCGGAGGCTAGGCCATCCGGAGGAGCAGCTTAGTGACCCATTAACAAAACCAAGAGTCAAACAAACAATCAAAGTATTACAGTGCCCCGCTCTTCTTCTTATCGCCCCTCATGGTCAACTTTCCATGTCAGCCACCACAACGTAGTCGGTGCTGTAAGGAAAGTACCCGTCAGACAACCGTACCGGTCATCGAATTTTCATCCAACTGAGAAGATGCCTGACTGCAAAATCACTGATCTCTCTTGGTGCTTCCACTGGATCTAAAAATTCGTACCGCATGGAAATTGAATTTGTTGACGGGGGATTGTGCTGACCATCACGTGCATCCACCCCTAGTTGTAGGAATACTGACCTAAAAGGAGAGTTAAATGACAAGGAACAGGATTTAACATAGTCCCATGGGTGTAGGGTTTCGTGTTTATTCCTCCTTGGAACTTTATTCTCACCTCAGTGATTCTGAGCCATATCCATCTGGATTCTCTCCAGCTAGAAGTGAAGAAGAGGATGCACTGTAAGTTCACATAACAAACATCTTCATACAGGAGCGGTAGACAGCTCCGT